ATAAGGTGAAGGGTATTAGACTCACCCATACCTGAAACATTTGCATCACCTTGACCAGCAGCATCTGACAGTCTCCAACACTTGTACATTTCATCCCAGTCAATACCAAGTGTTTGGCTGTATTCTAAGAATATCCCGTACCACTGCGGATTTGTTCGCGCGATCCAACTCAAATAGTTGTTCCACGAGGCCCAGTCCCACTTTCCCGGTTCACCATAGCGTTCAAAATACTGCTCCATCACTGCTCTCGGATTGCAACACATATCACCACTAACAGTCGCATCATTCTCAGGTTCAGAACCCTCCTCGTCCGGCTGAGATTCGTCAATGACTTTGCCATCAATCTGGACAGATAATATTGAAATTTAGTTATGCCTTACTTCTTCATCGCCATCTTCGTTAGAGCTCGAGGTTCCATTTTGCTGAGTCATTTCAATGGTATTCAACAATTTATCGAAGTAAGCAATCATCTCTTGATAGTATTGGGTGTAAAAGGCAGCAGCGGTAGTCGGTTGATAAGTAGTAGGGGTAATGGTAGATGGTACTGACGAAGGAAGCGATACTGACGCAACCAAGGGTTTGACAGTGTTCTCTGTGGATTGAGGAACTTCAACGGACGCTTAAAACACTTAATCGTGAAGAAATTTTCCACTTACCTGGGGCAATATCCTTTGGTGCATTCTTCGAATTCTGGATGAACTCGTGGAGTTGTTGAATATAATTCATATACTTCTGATATTCATCAGATAAGCGTTGGTACTCCGCTCGGTAGGCTTCCGATTCCTCGCCACCCTTTTCATACCAACCTCGCAATCGAGCGGAAGACTGAGTAAAGTACTCAAACATTCGGGCCTCATAATCTTCCACTTCCTTTCTCCACGCTTCTGTGCTACCTTGAAGCATTGCTTCGAACCTGTGAGGAAAACGAATCATGGATGGTGACCAAAATGCGAAGTGGTGCAGATTATTTTTTACACGCAGAATTGGTTTACGGCAAGAGGCTAACCGCATAATTGGAAGACATTGCCATAGGGGTGCGAGGAACAAATTAAGTTCAAAACCAGTTTAGTGATCTTCGTTTCAGAGACTGATGATGGACAGAAAGATCGAGAAAAGTGCTTCATAATTTGCCAACCCGCAGGATAAAAATAGACTGCAAGGAAGTTTTCGAAATCCTGGGAGCGGAAACTCGAAAGGAATAGTCTTCGAAAGCCTCAGTACAGTCGGCAGTGGGTGCCTCGGGTTGCTGCTAGTCACCCTCCCGCGACCTAGTGACTGCCATACGGCTCAGCATGTCAAATAGCTTCTGCCGCCTTCTCGAGGACGAAAAAGCCAACACCCGGGTCTGTTAATCATTAACTTTTCCCCCAGAACAATCGGTACATAATCCTAATTCAAAACCAACCAAGAAAAGGCATAGGAACAATAAACCTTTTTGGTTGCAGTACTGGTCACTGGCTCGATTGAGCATCGAGATGTATCGGGCACCTTGGACGTTTGACCCCGTTCAAAAGGAAAATAATACAACGAACTGGAAATCGACTGCCAGTTTCGGTTTCACTTTTCACAACCATTAACCTTGCATTTTCATGAGCCAGTTTTGGTGAACCGGCTTCCAATAGATTGCGGTTTTCTCACAACACCCCGCTGCCTTGTGATTAGTCACAGGCTCCGGTTATGAATTCCCCAAGAAAATTCAACTCTCTTGGCCTGAGTAGCCTGGAATCTCTTCTTTTACAAAGAATTTTGCACTATGATTTCTTTGGTACATCCAGGATTCAGAAGCGTATGAAAAACATGGTTACCACAGAGCACAGTAACTAGGTATACAAACTATATCAAGCATTCTAGTGTGAAAGTGACAAAAATAACGCCGCTGCCGTCGGTTCACTGCCAAGACTCCCAACCAGTTTTGCAGTCTTTTGGACCCTACCTAATTGCTCTTTACACTTTTTTATGTTTCGCCCACACATGGCTTTCTCTCGTATGCAGTAGCCACTGCAAATAAGGCGCGGTGCGGTAGGCGACCGTCAGACATACGCAAAATACCCTAGCCTATTAAGCTGAATTAGGTGCGATAGCGAGCTCTTGCTCAATGTATTTTTGAACACCCGATGACTAACATCTGTCACTAACCCGCCGACTTTTTCTCTCCTGGGACAGACTGCGTGAGCATCTATTGTCGAAAACCCCAAGGCGATGGATGTCTTCTTCCCCCAAATACAAGGTCTCACGTCCTTAAAGCTTAACTGATCGTGCAATATAAGTGAATTTTCAACTTTACTGAAACGTTACGTCCTCATAGGTATTCTAATCCTGCGTGCGCTGCTTCAGCCTTAGAAGTGGATGTGGTCATCTCCTTTGATGCATTAAATCCGTCTATCAAGCAGCTACTCAAGTACAAGAAGCAGTCAACTCCAGCCAATTACTGACCATCTAGTTCCAGAACGGAAATCAGCGAAACGCAGTCCCGCAGTATCACTTTGAGTTTCGCAGATACAAAGCATACACCGAACAGATCAAAAAGACTTGTTAGTCTTCAAGGGTGCTTCGTGCATCCTCCCTACAATGTCATCAGCGTACCCTAGGTTGCACAGCTTTTCTCCTGTCGCCCATTCAGTACCGACACTTTGGAGACCACTGAGTGCGTCCACCAGCAAATCCTCTACGATAAAACAGAACAGAAATACAAAACAGGGTGCCCTTGACGACCAACGTTGCTGATTTCGAACGATTTGTTCGGCTCGCTAGAGCCGTGGGCAACGAGATGTACATATTTATGATACCTTTCGCTATTCCAGATGCTCAAGGAAATTTTTCACACCTACAGGGTGTAACTGCTTCTTCTTTATCTGGTTAATACCTCAGTCTACGCCTTATCTGCCTGATAAGGAATACCACGAAACCATTGGTAAGCCACAAGTTACCCTGAGGGCTCCGTTGAGTACTGAAATGGTGATGGGTATTTAGAAAGTCAACTGCTGTTGATTTTCTGTGCACGCGGTTGAATATTTGGCCAGTTTCTACGGTACTAAGCCAGAACTCCGCTGTTATAGAGAGGAGCACTTCACACATTATCTCACTACTGTTAGTCCGACTTTATTCAGACGCCAAAATATAGTCACTGAGTCTTACCAAAAATTACGCAGTCCCGACCGCACTGAAGACTGCTGTAACGTACAAAAATCACAGTAAAATGAAATACTTTAGCATTCAACTAGACTCAGAAAATAACAATAATAATAATAATAACAAGGATCACCGAAAGGCAAAGCGGCATCCAAACACTGGTAAAATGTTGCCGAAAAGAAACACCACGCGAACACTTCTGGCGAACTTAAGATGAAGAAAGATGACCAACGGAAAAAACGGAATGAGAAACCTACCGCCTTTATGAAAATGGCGACTGGCGTGCCCGGTGTAGCGCAGTTCAGGTCTTAAAGTCTTGAAGTGATTCACGGGTTCGAGGCTGTTGCACAAACATCCCGGGTCCTTGAAAGGTATCTGTGTTTTCTTTTGGTTTGAATTACCTCTATAACAGAGAGTACTGAAAAGGGATTAGTAGGGTTCCCCGCTCGAGGCGAGAAATAAAATGAAGACTTGCGAACTCTTATATAACACAAAATGTTCTTTTTTCTTTTTATTGTGGAGGAGTACATAACCCTAAGTGGCGGTCAAGACGAAGTTTACAGACCGCCTTGCTGGGGGCGCTGATTATCTCTTCTGGAAGGTCATTCCATAAGGATATCATCCTGAAGGCAAAAAATGAGGTACGTAGAGTGGTTCTCGAACGGGGCTTGAAGATTTTTTTGCTGTGACCTCGAGTGGGCTGAGAGGCAGCAATGACAAAAAAGGTTTCGACAGTGCCCGTGTCGAAGAGATGGTAGAGGAGGAATAGGTCTCCTCGGATGCGTCTGATTTCTAGTGGATAAAGGCCCAGTTGTTGGAGCCGCGTTGGATAGGAGAGGTCCCTGAGTCCATGGACGGATTTTGTAGTGGCTCTCAACGCGCTCAAGACAGTCACGATCTCGGATGAGGCCGGAGTGTGCAACTTGGCTTCCATA